ACAGATTAACAAGAGAAAAGCATAACAAATATATTTAACAAAATTTTATGTGACATGGGAGCCTTCAGAAATGATGACCCCAGGATGCAGAAAAAACTGTGTGTTTTCTTGTTAAGTCTGATGAAAGAAGTGTATAGCTGTGGCGAAACATAATTAGACAAAAAAGGTATACTCTAATGGTAAACTGGGAGGAACTTAGCAAGGTCTGTTTGTTCAGATTCTATTTGGCTTTCCTGTAGTATTTCTTTCCCCTCCTCCCACCCCCACACACTTGGAATGAGGATATGACCTGCTCTCAGGGGAGGTAGCTCAAAGAATTCCATTATGACCATGCTTCCCACAGAAATGGAGGAGAAAGTCAAAGTGACCTTTTTGCATCTGCAGCTTTTTCAGTTGCCCAAGGTACTGTGTTTTGAGGTATTGTGTTTTGAGTCATGTCAATATGTTTTCTTCCTTGAAGTAATTAGTAGTTCACTGTGAGTTTCGTATTCTCATGAATCATAATTTTACACTGCCTGTAGTTTAATACCTGAAAACAGTTGCTTCATATATTTTGTCCAGTTACAAGGTGTTGGCAAGTGGGAGGACTAGTCTGAAACCATTTACTCTATAATAGACAGAAATGAAACTCAGGAAGATGTATCCTTAAGATGGGAAATATTACCACATCTGTACATTGATGGATACGATTCCATAGACAATGAATAGTGGATGATCCTTTAAGTGTTGATTTCTTGAACAACCAAGGGAGGCTTTCTGTTAATCCCTTTCTGGGCAATTTGCCATTCCAACTTTAGGCTCTTGAGAAATAAGGCCTTTTCTGTCCACTATCTAGCTTCCCCTCTACCTTCTGCTGCTGTGTTTTTATACTCCAGATTACCTAGTCCCTGTGGGATTTTGCTACTCTCTGGCTGTAAGTACATACCTTGTAGATCCTGTTAAAACTACATGAAAGGGAACAAATCATGAGCATTGAAAGCAGCTATCTCCTGATTGAGATCAGAGTTCGTAACCCAAGGATTGAGCCTGTTATTCCTTTCTACTTGTGGTTTATTTTCTGGGCTTTAAATGTAATATAGCCATAGCACCATCCACATATTATCACTTTCACATGCTTTCTAGATATGTCTTCATGAGATACTTGGATTTAGGATCTTGCTTTTTTGCCTTAATAGATAATATTCTCTTGCACTCTGGTAGCTCTAACTTGCTTGGAGCTTTAGAATCTGCCAGAACTGATTACTTAGTTAGACATCTAGTTAGTTCCCTTTCTAGTTAATCCTAGAAATATACACCATACCCTTGGCTATTTCTGGTTAGTTTACTCTAAAATCAAAATGATTCTGTATATCTTAGTTCCAGACTCCCGGTTATGCCTTCATAGTACACATTTTTACATTAATGCTAATCTTTATTTGATCTTGTGGCCTGGAAGTGTCATCACTTCCCAGGCAACCATCTCTGCATTTCAATTACAGAAGTGAGGCATAGCATTCCCCACAAAGCAACAGGATTCCCTCTTATTCCCCTGCATCTATACTAGAGTGGAATACTGCCTCTGCTGCTGAACACAGAAAAGGCAAGTCTTTTATAATTTTTTTTTAATTCCACCTCACCAGGCAAGCAAATTTTACACTGTAGTATGGATCATCACCACCACCCTCATTTTGTCTTCAGTGCTGCATAAAGAAGGGTTTATAGATACCTGAACACATATATCAGGGATCAGCAATGTAAGAACAAGACAAAGGAGCTCAGTGTGTAGAGAGACGATGAAACCCAATCACTCTTTCTTAATAGTCACTTGAGAAGAAGCACAAGGGACATGAATGGTGTTGGCAAAATGGAGGCATTAAAAAGGCAAGATTATCTGACCCAATGTACAACTAAAAGAACTGGGAGAACAAAAAATGAGAAGAGTGTGAAGCTATGTATGTATAATATATATAAATCACATATCAAGTATGTCATAAATTATTTATGCACAATTATATGTGCAAAAAATAATTACATATATACTTAATCTTACCTGCTTAAATTGGTTTCTTTACATGAGGAAAACTTTTTCTAAGCAACAATTAGATGTCAAGGAACACAGTTTTGGAATGTATATGATCATTAATATTTATTTATCATAATCTGTTAGATTATGTGATGACAGCAAAAAAGAAAATCTGATTGTATCTAAGAGAGATTTTATTTCTTTTCCTCCATCCAAACACATTAGGCTATGCTTTCTGTAAAAAAACTCATACTGAGTTGCAAGCCAAAGTAGAACAATTACTAGAATGAGTTAGAGGAAAAAAACATGCATTACATATATTTAGGTTCTGTGGGTAAGCAGGGAAACAGTATGAGATTTTAAAGAAAGAAAACCTAGACTGAGTTCTTGAGTGATTACTTATAAATTATATGTCTTTGGGCAAAGTACTCAAGTGTTCTCCCAAACTTATTTTTCATCTGTAGAATAAAAGCAATAATAATAACATTCAGGGAGCACATACTCTAGGTCCCAGGCTAAGTCCTTTATGTGTATTATCTCATTTGGTCTTCACTCTATCCCTTTGAGATAGGCACTGTTATATGCCCAGTTTACAGAGGAGGAAATTAAGACTTGAGAAGTTAAGTAACTTTTTTTTTTTTTTTTGGAGTCATCTTGAGGAGGAAAGAAGTTAAGTAACTTTTTAAGGTCACATAGCAAGTAAGCGATGAAGAAGGAATTCAAAATTTGGCTCTAGAACCCAGGGTCTTAACTATTACATTCCACTCTACTACTGCTGTGGTTTGGATATGGTTTGTCTCTGCCAAAACTCATGTTGAAATTTAATTGCCAATGTAAGGATATTGGGAGGTGGAACCTTTAAGATCTGGGACCTAATGAGAGGTATTTTGGTCATGGAGGCTCTGCCCTTGCAAGCAGCTTGGTGTTGTGTATTGCCTCTTCATACATATCCACTTCCCCATTGATCTCCTGCCATGTTATGAGGAAGCACAATAGCCATTATCAGAAGATGAGTAGATGCCAGCACTATGCCCCTGGAACTTACCAGACTGTAGAAGCATGAACTAAATACACCTCTTTTCTTTATATAAATTACCCAGCCTCAGGTATCTGTTATAGCAACAAAAATGGACTAAGACAACTACCTTATTATAGTAACACTATGATAACCAAAATAGATAGTGTCTGTTAAAATTCTTAAAGCCTTTATACATGTTATTTATTTTTTATCTCATTAGAGAGGGTATCATTAATAAGTAGAAAGACAGTAAGATACAAAGAAATAAATGTTGAGATTGTTACTTAGCAGTCCTTGGATTCTATTCCTGTTATCTATAAATTAGCTGAGTGACTATAGTAAGTCACTTATCATTTGGGGCCTCAGTTTTCTTTTTTTAATTTTTTAAAGTTAAAAATTTTTTTTTGGAGGCAAGATCTTGTTCTGTTGCCCAGGCAAGACTGCACTGGTGTCATTGTAGCTCACTGCAAACTTAAAATCCTGGGCTCAAGTGATCCTCCTGCCTCAGCCTCTTGTGTAGGTGGGGTTACGTGTGTACTACCACACCCAGCTAAAATTTTTTTTGTTTATTATGGGTACATAATAGTTGTATATCTTTATAGGGTCATGTGTTGTTTTGATACAGGCATACAATGTGAATTAATCAAATCAGGGTTTTTGGGATATACATCACTGCAGGCATTTATCATTTCTTTGTGTTAGGAACATTTCACTTCCACTCTTAGTTATCTTAAAGTATACTACAACTTGTTGATTATAGTAATTTTGTATTGTTCATTTTATGTAACTAACTATATTTTTGGGTATTAACTGTCCCCACTTTATCCCTCCCTCCCCAATACCCTCCTCAGCTCTGGTAACCATCATTCTACTCTCTGTCTCCATGAGAACAATTGTTTTTAATATTTAGCTCCCACATATGAGTGAGAACATGTGAGATTTGTCTTTCTGTGCTTGGCTTACTTAATTTAATGTAATGTTCTCTAGTTCCACCTATGTTGTTGCAAATGGAAGGATTTCATTCCTTTTGTGGCTATATAATATTCCACAGTGTGTATGTATAACATTTTCTTTATCCATTCATCCACTGGTGGACGAGGGTTGATTTCAAATCTTGGCTATTGTGAATAATGCTGCAATAAACATGGGAGTGCAGATATGTTTTTGATATACTGAATTCCTATCCTTTGGATATATACCCAGCAGTGGAATTGCTGGGTCCTATGGAAGTTCTATTTTTAGTTTTTTGAGGAGCCTCCATACTATTGTCCATAGTGGTTGCACTAATTTACATTCCCGCCAATAGTGTGTGAAGGTTTCCCTTTCTCTAAATCCTTGCCAACATTCATTATTGCCTGTCTTTTTGATAAAAGTGATTTTAACTAGGGTGAAATGATATTTTATTGTAGTTTTGATTTGCATTTCTCTGATGACTAATGATGTTGAGCATTTTTTTCACATTCTGTTGGCCATTTGTGTGTCTTCTTTTGAGAAACGTCTATTCAAATCCTTTTCACATTTTTAAATTGGATTATTTGGCTTTTTCCTATTGAGTAGTTGGAGCTCCTTATATATTCTAGTTATTAATCCCTTGTCAGATGGGTAGTTTGCATATATTTTCTCTCCTTATGTGGGTTGTCTCTTCACTTTGTTGATTGTTTCCTTTGCTGTGCAGAAGCTTTTTTAACTTGATGCGATCCTATTTGTTCAATTTTGCTGTGGTTGTCTGTGTTTTGAGGGTATTACTCAAGAAGTCCTTGACCAACCAATGTCCCAAAGCATTTCCCAATGTTTTCTTTTAGTAGTTTCATTGTTTCAGGTCTTAGATTTAAATCTTTAATCCATTTTGATTTGATTTTTGTATATGGAGAGATATTCTTCTGCATATGGATGTCTAGTTTTCCCAGCACCATTCATTGTAGAGACTGTCCTTTCCCCACTGTATGTTCTTCAGTTTTCTTAATCTATAAAAATGATAATGTATTATTTAGAACCTTCTAGCTGGGCAATTATGTCATCCTGTCATTTTATGATCTTATAGATCTAGCTCTCTCTCATATGATGACTCTACATTTTCTCTTAACAAGACACTGTTGCATTTTCCTCCTTTGCTCCTGCCTTGCTGAATGCCTTGAGTTAACATACCCATAATGTGAACAAGATTATCAAAAAGTATAACATAATTAGAAAAATCTATGACAAATAGAAAGAGTAATCTTTTTTCTTTTGAAAGTTTCATTTATTTTTTCTTTTGGTTTGTTTTGTAGATAAAGCATGTACATTGCCCAGAAGGCAAAACACTATCACAAATCAAACATTGAGAAGTCTTGCTTCCTGTCCCCATTCTTTTTTATTTATCCTTCCAGTATTTATCTATGCAAGTTCAAGCAAAAGAAATATAACTATCTTCTTTCATCCCCTTTCTTACATAAAACATATTATATTCACTCTTAGACATTTTGGTTTTTTCACTTAATAATACATTTTGGAAATCACCATATATGAGTACACAAAAGAGCTATCTTTCCTGTTTTGTTCAGCTTCATATTGTTCAATTATAGAGTAGAACCATGGTTTATTGAACTAATTTCCTAATGAGTACACTTGTGGTATTTTTCAATATGTTGCTGTTATATGTTGTTATATGTTGCTATTATATGCTATTAATATGTTGCTGTTACAGAAAATGCTGTAAATTAATAACAGATATCATTTCATATGTATATAATATGATATGTATATAATATATATGTATATAATATGGATCTATGTAGGATAAATTCCCCAAAGTGGGATTCCTAGGTTAAAGGGTACATGAATTTGTGTTTTAAAAAAATATTGTCACATTGCCCTCACTAAAAGTCAGACTATTTATACACAAACTAGTGATGTATTAGAGTGCCTGCTTCCCAACAGCTTCACCAACACAATGTGTTGTCAAATGTTGGATTTTTAAATACTCTGATAGGGAAAATGGTATACAGAGTGATTTTAATTTGCATAAAGAGGCTTTTAAAAAAGAGTTGGAAAGTTACATGCCCATGAAAATTTAAGGTAAACTTTGATAGAAATGGATTCTTTAAAGCATCCCCCAAATCTGAAGCTTTGCGGTTAGCCAATATATAGAAACTCTTGTAAATAACAGTTGGCATTGAAACAAAACAAAATATTTTTCTGTAATCCAAAGCTTTTTGTCAGCCAAGGTCAAGGAAACTTGGCAATTGCTCACTACTCAGTCTTAAACCAGAGAGATCAAATACTGCATTCCTGAGGACTGGCCTTGAGCTATCCCACAGCATTGTCAACTGAATTTTGTTTATTGTTGGGCTCCCATCCGGCCTGCATATTAATAACTCCAAATTAATAACTGCATGTTAATAAACTCCAAAAGCAAAATAACACATATCTAATGTCTTGAGAAGATATCCTACAGCAAAATGGCAGAAACAAGATGAGATTCAGAATTGTAGGAAATTTTTTTCTACATTGAATCAATTAAACTCACTCTTTTCCCCTACCCAATCCCCATCCCCAACATATACATCATTCCCCAGCAGAAGCATTTCTTTCAAATTCAGAGAAATAGAAATGTATAGATTCCATTCAATTTTCCTCTTAATTCTAAAAGTGAATAAATCCATTTTTTTTGTAGAATGCTATATAAAATATGTACTGTGAATATATGTTATAAAAACTACTATACCAAATACCATCTGATATTTATTTTGGTAAGACCCCAAACCTCATTTAATTTAAATATACACTGTGCTTCAGTTTGTTCATCAGTAAAATGGTAATGATGCTGATACCCATCTCATAGGGTTTTTTGGTGGAGATTAAAGTCAAAACATGTAAAGCACCTAGAAGAGTGCTTGGCATAGAGTAAACAATACATGTTCACTATTATCATATTTATTCTTTTGTTAGTAAGAAATTTCCTGTGGCCATAGAATCTTTGGACATGGTGCCCATGGTGCACCATGTAAGCATAATATACATCATTTCTATATGTTGAGGAAAGTCTTGAAACCTTAATAATTAATGTGCAGTGGTCAAAAGCAGCTCAGAAAGTAAGAGGATGGAAAGAACTCTCCAATGGTAAATGTTAATGCTGAACTTGTGTGTGATATTTAAACCAAAGTGCTGGAGGCAAAATAATGGATGTCCATGCTGTAATTCTTGGAACTTGTGAATATGCTACTTTACATAGCAAAAGCGATTTTGCAGATATGACTGGGAGTAGGGATCCTAGGATGGGAAATTGTCTTGGCTTATCGGGATGGGCCCAAACTAATCACATGAATTGTTAAAAGCAGAGAAGCTTTCCTGCTGTGATCAGAGAGATGTGATGATGGAAGAAAGGTTGGAGAATGCGAGTGAGGACTTGACCAGTCATTGTTGGCTTTGAAGACAGAGGAAGCCAGCCAAGGAATACAAGGAGCCTTTAGAAGCCAGAAAAAGCAAGGTAAATTCTCTCCTAGAGACTCCAGAAAGGAATACAGCTCTGCTGACACCTTAATTTTAGCCCAGTGAGACAAGTTTCAGAATTCTGACCCATAGAATTTTAAAATAATAAAATTATTTTATATTTCCTGTTATAGCAGGAATAGAGAATGAGTGCACTGAGGTAGGAATCATTTGCAAGGATAGAAAACTCTAAGTCCATTTATTACATGTTTTGTCCCCCAAAATCAAAATGAAACATGTCAGAGAAGAATAAATAGCCCCATATACTATGTATTCTACTGGCTTGAACCATGGATGAATTAGATACTCAATATGCCAGTTTGCTGTTCTATAAGCATTTGAAATGGCTTAGTCCAGTCCTGAGGCTGAAGAAAACTTGTGAGCTATTGGCAGGAAAATCAAACCATTGCTGTCACTCAATGACCTGGGACTTTCACATATAGATGGACAACTGTATTGGGTTATTTTCTCATCCCTGCTGAAACTGGATAAACTCTTTTGGCAAGAAATCATTTGGCTCCAATTTCCAAAATTAAAAATATAGCCTATACTACTTTTCTAAAATTGTAGAGTTAAAGAAATTTCAGACCATTTTCTCTGACTTAAAACTTAATGAAAATGAATTAACATTGTGCAGTTCACCTTTCTCAATTAATAGCCATAGTGTAAATAAAGAGCTACTAATGCACTGAGCTGCAGTGTAATATGGTACTGAAAACAGAATATGCCAACACTGAAATATCAGAATGCTATGCATATCTCAGGGTAGTTAACTTACATATAAATCTATTTGGGAAGTTTCTATTTATTTTCTGAAGTACTTATGTTTTAGAACAGCAATAGGTAAATAACTCTTGCTCTAATTTATTTAAACTGTATTGTAGTCTCCATGATATCAATTTTTTGAGACCTAGGCTTTATTTATTACCCAGTATATTTTCTATTTTTAGGTGTTTCCTCTGTGTTTATGGAGAAATTGGATTATTTAATTGGTAAGTAAAGATTACTACATGTGTCAAGTTTTCTATATGTTTGATCTATAAATTACTGAGAGAGGTATATTAAAAATCTAATATGATTGTATATTTGCACATTTTCCATGTTACTGTGGCATGTTTATATATATATATATATACACACACATACACACACACACACAGACATACACACACATATATACTCACATATATAGATTGGATAATTGCAAGTTTAGAGTTGCTAGGTATTCCAGGTTAGTTTAAATGTTTAGCATCACATAGTGACAGTATTTATCCTTTATAATGTATTTTCTCCCAGAAAGTCCATTTAGTTAGGCAGCAATATAGAAAACTAGCTTTCTTTTGATCATATTTACCTGGAATTTTTTTTTTCTATCCTTTTATCTTCAACCTTTCTGTCTCCAAAGTTTTGATGTGTCTCTTCTAAATGTGGTAGAGTTAGAATTTTTTTCATCCTAAATGAAAGCATGCTTTTTCATTGGTGTATTTAACCCATTTACTTTTTATATATTTGGACTTATTTTCAATATCTCATTTTATACTTTAAAAATATGTCCATTTCTAATGCTTTTCTTCCCCTCATTTTCTTCTTTCTTTTGGAGTTTAAATGATGTATTTGTCAGGATAGAAGCTAAACTGCTTTAACAAAGAGACTTTAAAATAGGTACCTCAACTAGGACAAAAGTTTACACTCTCCCATGGAACATTTCAGAAGTAGGCTGGGAGTGAGGCACTGTGTTCTGTGGTGGTAGGTGACTCTGCTACATGAAGCCATACAAGGGCCCCGGCTGGGAGGCCCCAGCTCTGCCATCTTTAATGTTTAGCTCCTATTTTTGGATATCATGCGGTCACTTCAGTTGTTGCCATTTTCTAGCCAGTGGGATAAAAAAATGGGAAAACAAACAGCTTCCTTACAAAATATTACCTGATTGCATACATCATTTCCATTTGCATCCCATTAGCAAAAACTTGATTATACAACACATGTAGCTACAAGAGGAACTGGGAAATATGGTCTCTGGCTAGTAAACCATGTGCTTGGTTAAAATTCAGGATATTCCATTACTAAAAGGGAAAAAAAGAGAAAGGATCTTGCAAATAACACTGTGGTTCTTATTACTTTTTTCCTGTTCTACATGATACAGTATATTCATCCAGTAATATAAATATAGCTTTATCTTGCTTTTTAAAAATCCTCTAATGAGATCACAGTTGTTGTCTTTTTTTTTTAATTTATTTTTATTTTGGCATATTATGGGGGTACAGATTTTAAGGTTTCAATAAATGCCCATTTCCCTCCCCCCAAACAGTCGCAGTCGTCCACTCATCACCACTCCCGCCCACCAGATGGTGCACTTCACTCATTATGTCTAACTATACCCATCCTCACCTGCCCAAACCCTACTTACCTGTACACCTAGTGTCCCACTTAGGTGCCACCTCAGTTAATACCGAGTTCGCTGGAGAATCATATCTGTGCTTTTTCCATTCTGGGCACACTCACTTAGTATCATGGGTTCCAGCTCTAACCAGGACAATATAACGGAATCCTATATCACGATTGTTGTTAAGCTGATAGTACTGCCATGGTAATACATCTACACCATCCTTCTTATTAATCATTCTTGGATTAGATCGTGTGCACTTGGGCTGTTTCCACCCAGCCTTGCATTATGACATTGTGCTGCTATAAACACCTTCGGCGCCAGCCGTGTCCTTTTTTGTTAGAGTGTCCACGTGGATCATTCTGGTAGATCCCAGCAACTGGATCGCTGGACTCAAACATGGTAGATTCACTTATCTTTAAAGGTATTTCCCATACTCTGCTTTCCACAGAGGTTGAACCTAGTTTCATCCCCCTCAGCCAGTGTAGGAGGTCCTCTCCTCTCCGCAACCACACCAGCATCCTTATTGTTTGGAGATTTTTTTGATAAAGGCCATCCCTCTCACTGGGGTTACAGTGTATCTGCATTGGGTTTGATTTGCATTGTCCCTGATGATTAGGAGATGTTGAGCATCTTCTCATATGTCTGTTTGGCCCATCTCTCTCTTTAGAAAATTTTCTGTTCAGTCCTTTGCCCATTTTTACATGGGTTGGCTAAGCTAACGAAAGCGAAAGAAGAAATCTCTAATAACTCCATCAGGAATAAAAAAGAGAACCACCAACTGATCACAAGAGATAAAGATACCCAGATTTTGAATACTACAAAAACTTTATGCACCACAAACTCGGAAAATGTGAGGAAACTACGACAAATTTCTAGAAACCACACAGCCCTCCCTATAGCCAACCCAGGAAGACATAGATTCGCCTGAACAGACAATCTACACGCTGAAATCGAAACGCAGCAACTAAAAATCTCCCTAAAGAAAAGTCCCGTCCACATGCTTCACACGCTGAATTTTACCCAATACTTACAAGGAAGAACTAGTACCTACTTGGCAGAAACTATTCACAACATCGAGAACAACGAAACCTACCCCTACACCTTTAGTGAAGCGAAATATTACTCTGATACGCAATTACAGGAGAAGGATGCAAGCAACAAAAAGAAACTACAGACAATATCCTAATGAATATACATGCAAAAATTTCAACCAAACTTAGCTAAACGATCCAGACACTTTAAAAATACATCCACGCCACCCACCAAGTGGGCCTCATCCCAGGGATGCAGGGGATGGTCTTCAATATACTAATCTAGCTAAAGCAATTCACCACATACACAACAAAAAACAAAGACCACATGATCTTCAATAGATGCCAGAAAAGCTTTTGACCAAATTCAACCACTTCCGTCATCGAATACGACACACTTAAGAAATAGGCATAGAGGGAAAATACCTAAAAATGATACACGCCCATAATGCACCAGACCCATACCAACCATCAATGACTGCAATGGGGAAGACTGAAATCATCTTCCACTTGACTGGAACCAGCCCAAGGCTCCACTACCTCCCACTTCTGTTCAACATTACGTGCTGGAAAGTCTTGGCTCAGCCAATCAGACAGGAAAATGGAATCAAAGGTATCCAAAAGGGGCAGTAAGAAAATCAACTTTCACTGTTTGCTGATGATACGCATATTGTATCCTAACAAAACCCCAAGGATTCCAACCAAGAAACTCCTGGAACTGATCAATGAATTAGCGTAGTCTCAGATACAAAACAATACACAGAAATCAGCAGGCATATATACGCCACAAACATCTATGAGAACGCAATCGAAACGACTCAATTCCCTTCCACAATAGCAACAAAGAAATTAAAGTACCGAATTCATTTAACCAAAGAGGTAAAAGACCTCTACAGGGAGAACTATGTTGTCTTTTTTTTACAATCAATTGTTGCTTGGATTTACCCATGTGGTTGCTATTTTTTTGCTTATTGTTTCTTCTTGTTTCTCAGACCTTCCTTTGTTCTGAGACACATTTTTAAGTGTTCCCTCTGTGTTTATTGAGAAACTGTTATTAATTGTAAGTAAGATTACTACCTGTGTCAAGTTTCCTATGTTTATTAAATGTTTGATCTATTAATTACTGAGAGAGAGGTATGTTAAAAATCTAATATGATTGTATTAGACAGTCTCGCTCTGTTGCCCAGGCTAGAGTGCAGTGATGTCATCATAGCTCACTGCAACCTCAAACTCTGGGTCTCAAGCAATCCTCCTGCCTCAGCCTTCTGAGTAGCTGGAACACAGGTGTGCACCACCCATCCGCTACTTTTCTTCCCCTTCCTTCCCTTCCTTCCTTCCCCTTCTTCCTCTTCCCCTTCCTTCCTTCTTCCTTCCTTCCTTCCTTCCTTTCCTTCCTCTCTCTCTTTTCTCTCCGCCTCGTCCTCTCTCCTCTCCTCTTTCTTCTCTCTTCCCGCGTCGCCGCTTTTTTCGCCTTCTGTCTTTCTTTCTTTCTTTCTTTCTTTCTTTCTTCCTCTCTTTCTTTCTCTCTTTCTTTTTTGTAGAGATGGGGTCTCACTCTTGCTCAGGTTGGTCTCGAACTCTTGACCTCAAGCGATCCTCTTGTCTTAGCTTCTCAGAGTACTGGGATTACAGGCGTGAGCCACCCTGCCCACTCTCTTTTCCCCTTCACTTGGGCTCAGTTTCACTGTTCTTGAAGAATATTGTATTAGCTATTTATTGCTGCCTAACAGATTACTCTAAAACTTGATGTAGTGAAACATTTGTTATCTCACAGTTTCTGGAGGTTAGAACCTGGCATGGCTTCTCTGGATGCATTACTTCAGGGTCTTTCTCATAGGCCACAATCAAGGTGTCACCTGAGGATGTGGTCATCTCGAGGTCAGTTGAGGAAGGATCTCCTTCCTAGTTACTCAGATGTTTGTTGACGGGATTCAGTTCTTCACGGATCATTGAACTGAGACCTCAGTTCCTTGCTGGCTGTTGGCCAGAGGCAACTCTCAGTTTTTCTCCACCTGAGCTTGCTTCAACAGAGCATGAAAGCCAAAGGGCAAACGAGAGAGACAGGGAGAAAGAAAGCGCAGTCTTTTATAACCTCATCACAGAAGTGATAGCCCATCGCTTTTGCTGTCTCCTATTTGTTAGAAGCAAATCACTAAGTGATTTGGCCACAGTCAAGGGGAGGGGATTACACACTTAGGCACGAACACCAGCAGGGGTAGATAATTGGGAGCCACATCCGAAGCTGCCTGCCATAAACATCCTCTTTGTAAGTTCTTGCAGTGAGAGTATGATGGCAATAAGCTCTGTCAATTTTCATTGGTTTAAAACTATAGCCATGCACTGCACAATGGCATTTTGGTCAACAACGGATCATATATATGATGGTGGCCCTGTAAGATTCTAATGACGCTGAAAAATTTCTATTGCCCAGTGATGTAGCAGTTGTGATGTCACAGTGCAGTGTATTACTCATGTGTTTGCGGTGATGCTGGTGTAAACAAACCTACTGCACTGACTTTTCATCATTATTTTAGAGTGTACTCTTACTTATGAAAAAAAAGTTAACTATGAAACAGCATCAGATAGGTCCTTTGGGAGGTATGCCAGAAGACGGCGTTGTTATCATGGGAGATGACAGCTCCACGCATATTATTGTATCTGAAGACCTTCCAGAGGAACAAGATAATGGGGGTGGAAGGCTGTGATATTGATGACCCTGACCCTGTGTAGGTCTAGGCTAATGTGTGTGTTTTTTTTCTTCATTTTTAACAAGAAAATCTAAAAAGTAAAAAGTAATTTTTTTAAGACAGAAAAAAGCTTGTAGAATAAGAACATAAAGAAAATATTTTGTATAGCTCTATAATGTGCTTGTGTTTTAAGCAAAGTGCTATTACAAAAGCATCAAAAATTTTAAAAATGAAAAAGTTTATAAAGTAAAAATGTTACAGGCAGGGTGTGGTGGCCCACACCTGTAATTCTAGCACTTTGGGAGGCCAAGGTGAGAGGATCGCTTGAGCTCAGGAGCTTGAGGCCAGCCGGGGCAACATAAAGACCCCACCTCTACAAAAATTAAAAAAAGTTAGCTGGGCATGGTGCCAAATACCTGTAGTCCCAGATACTCAGGAGGCTGAGGCAGTAGGATCACCTGAGCCCAAGAGTTCCAGGCTGCAGTGAGCTATGCTCATGCCATTGCACTCCAGCCTGGGCAGCAGAGCAGGACTCTGTCTCTTAAAAAAAATATTATATATATATGTGTGTGTGTGTGTTTGTTTGTGTGTAGTGTATGTCTGTGTGTGTGTTATAGTAAGCTAAGGTTAATTTATTATTATTGAAGAAAAATATTTTTTATAAACTTAGTGTAGCCTAAGTGTACAGTGTTTATAAAGTCTACAGTAGTGTACAGTAACATCGTAAGCCTTCACATTCACTCACCACTCACTCACTGACTCACCTAGAGTAACTTCCAGTCCTATACGCTCCACTCACGGTAAGTGCTCTAGACCTGCAGTCTCTAACCCCTGGGCTGCAGCTGGGTACCAGGCAATGCATCACCTTCTAAGCTCTGCACCCCACCCCATGATACCCCACTGTCCCATCTTCAGTCCATGAAAAATTGTCTTCCATGAAACTGGTCCCTGATGCCAAAATGGTTGGGGACCACCACACAAACATACAAATTTTAAAATCTTTTTAAACATTTTCTTACTGTATCTTACTGTATTTTTTCTATCTTTAGATATACAAATACTTACCATTATAAGTAACAACTTACAATGTTACATGTAAGTTACAGTGTTAATGTAAGTTACAACTGCCTATAGTATTCGCTACAGTAACATGCTGTACAGGTTTGTAGCCTAGGAGCAATAGGCCTTCATTCTAGGAGAATGTCCTTCATTCTACTTTATTTGGATTTACTTTTTTGTTCTTTTTCCAACTTCTTGAGCTAGGTATTTAGCCCATCAAAGCAGGGAGGTGGCAGGGTGGTGTCACGGGGTGAGGTGCAGAGACAAATTATAAAGACAAATGGAGAAATTAATACAATTGGAAGACGAAGATAAGAGTGTAAAACATCAATGTCCAAAATTGTTATTTAAATAGACTAATAACATAATTTAATAAAATAAAAGAAACTTGGCAAGATTATTCTAGGGAAAAAGAAGACTCTGAAAACAATACAAGAAATGTAAAAGGCATTATAACTATAGATATCCCAGAGATTTTTTTAAAAAGTAACTAAATACTAGGAAAAACTTTGTGTCAAGATTTTGAAAATTTAGATGAACTATATCATTATATAGAAAATTATAACTTTCCAAAACAATTTTTGAATAAATATAAAGCATCAATATATTTATAGTATAATAAACAAATAAAGGGAAATAATTGAGCATTTATCCCACCTTTCTTATACAAACTCTGCCTCAGTATATCTGAATAGAAGGAGGGCAAGTTTGTCTTTATAGAAGTATTCCAGGTAAGCAATGAAGAAGGAATGATCAAACTAGAACAGTATTTTGCAACCCCCAAATGACTTGTTTGTCAGGAGTGGCTAATATCACAAAAAGAGACAATCAACTATTATATTTGAGGAACATGGCATCACCTAAAAAGTAATCTTAGCAAAGAAATAGGATTTGAAACTAAGGAAGCTACTTTGATCCAAGTTCCTATTTGCAAATAACCATTTAATTGTTAGCTATGACAGAGGGATTTATAGTGTGTAAGGTACACAGAAGGTGCATATGTCCTGCAAGGACTGTGAACTGAGTTCTAGAAGCTGGCTATGAGTCAGCTAGGCAGAGAAGTACCTCCTTTGCAGGGGATAAAGGCATGAGTTAGGACTGACTGGCAATGCAAAGAGCTTGAGGAGCTTTGTGTAGCCAACTGAGCAGTTTATTTTATTCTATAGCTGCTGGAATGTCATGCAAAGATTTTACATCAAGAAAATAATATGATCATATCAGAACTTTGATAGGATCAGCTTATTGGCAGTATGGAGTATGCCTTAGAGCAAGACAAGAGTTCAGGCGGGGAGATCAAAAAGATCAAGGCAGCAGTTTATATTAAATATCAGTTAGATCTTTAACACATTGACTACCATGTGAGTTATATTAAACTCAAGCTAGTTTTTTTTTTTTTTTTTTTTTTGAGACAGAGTCGCGCTTTGTTGCACAGGCTAGAGTGAGTGCCATGGCGTCAGCCTAGCTCACAGCAACCTCAAACTCCTGGGCTCAAGCAATCCTGCTGCCTCAGCCTCCCGAGTAGCTGGGACTACAGGCATGCGCCACCACGCCCGGCTAATTTTATATATATATATTAGTTGGCCAATTAATTTCTTTCTATTTATAGTAGAGATGGGGTCTTGCTCTTGCTCAGGCTGGTTTCGAACTCCTGACCTCGAGCAATCCGCCTGCCTCGGCCTCCCAGAGTGCTAGGATTACAGGCTTGAGCCACCGTGCCCGGCCTCAGGCTAGTTTTGACCCCCAGGCCTTATGAAGCAAAACTCTGCAGTTGGTTCATGAAAATCTTATGTTATTGTTCTTATTGTTACAATTAATATTGACAATTTTATTCTAAAATGTAAATTGCATTGTGTATAACTCATGTACAGAAAATAAAAAATAACAAATTAAAAAGGATCATAAAACATGGTGGCCCCGGGGAAACAATTTTTTTTCTAGTGTGGCAGTTAATGTGTTAATTTAAATTTAGGAGACTCACCAATATCGTCAACTATATTTATAAACTGCCTTGTGGTAATTTATTGGGATGAAATCTACTTTAGTCTAATTACATACTTTAAAAAAATTCAGATAATACTTTCTGATCTTATTCTTAAATTATATGGATTGTGTAGAATCTTAAGCATCTACTGTTGAATATAATTCAAGTTAAAATTATATACATTAATAATGAAATAATAATTTCCTGTGCTTATTCCCTGGACTTAGGACCAAAAAGATCTAGATTTGAATTTTGGATCTACTACTTAGTAGCAGTATGATTCTAAGAAAGTCACAAACACAGTGTGCCTCAGTTTCCTCATCTGTAAAATAAGAGAGCAGGAATTGTTTTGTTCACTGCTGTGTCTCTAGCACTAACATAGTTACACTCTTAAATGATGTCAATAAATATTTATTGATTAAAGGCATATCTACTCCACAGAGTTGCTGTGATAATTATATGAAATAAAAATTGTATGAGTTTCTAACATAGATATTAAATGGCTGCTCTGTGCAGGACACCATGCTGGGTGCTGGGGATATGATAATGAGTAAGGCAGCATCCCTACCCTTTGGAAACTTTAGTCTAGAGGAGCTACACAAACAATGTGTGATGAAGTAGAAAGTACCATGAAGAGTAGGTATTTAATAAACATTGAATTTTATAGCACTTTATACTTTACAAAGCAATTTCATGAACATTATTGCATTTGAAACAATGGATACAGTACGTTTTACGAGAATAAACAAAGGTTTTAGGTGTTCAGCAGAAGATAAGATGATCCGTTGGGATGAATAGACACCGCTTCATGGGAAAGATGGAATTTGAAGGCTTCAAAAAAGAATGGATGGATTTTGACAGGAATAAAAGATGGAGCAGTGAGGTTTTATAGACAAGGAAATGCATAAGCAAATAGGTAAGCAAAAGCATGTCCTCAGCAATTCCAGGTTGCTTTATCTGTATTCATGACCATATATTTACAAATCTCCTCTTGAATTCTGCTGAATATGGATATTTGTAATCTTTGGAATTAACTTCCACCTACCTTTGAAAATCTGAAGAATATTTTTTTCCATCTCTAATCTTCATGCACATGCTTAATGAATTCTGATTACTAATGGAAGTTACATGACAACATTAATTTATTCACAAATACTTATTTAACCCTTGATGTGTTCAAGACCCTGCATTTGGTACCGTGGGGGGCTAGAAGATGAACTATATAAATAACTACTCTATGTATACAAAGAACTACCCTACAAAACAGCTGTAAGTGCCATACCTGAGTTGAAGTTTCATTTGCCATAGGAAGGATGAGAAGAGAGGGAACATCTGCAGTTTCTTTTTCCAGTTCTCTTCCTTCAACTCATTCATCTAACCTGGGAGATTTGATCTTTTTTTTTTTTATTTTTTATTTAAGTTAACTGTTCTTTTGCAACCTCCTCTTCTGAATTACTTTTCAGGGTTTGTTGTGTCCTTTCCAATTTGAATGCCTTTCTCTTTATCCAAAGATTGATGCAACTGGGAGCCCACTGCCTTCTCTCTGCCACCAGGTTTAATGCGCACCCCACGTCATCAAGAGAGACTTAACTCAGATCTCTGCTTTCTTGTTCTGAAAATTCTTTACAGTATCTTCTATCGTGCTTAGCATATTTGTCATATCCACTTGACTTTGGCCTTTAGCCTCTTCCAGAGTAGCCTTACGGAGGGATGTCCAGAAAGTGCTATGATTTACTTTGTGACGCACTGTTGGTGCGCATTAGTGTAACTCTCAGAATGGCCCTCAAGGACGGAACATCTTATCTGTATTTAGAATTGTGGAAACTCTGATCTTCAGAGAATAATTTTTTTTTCAAGGTCTCAGATCTCCTAAGTGGTAGTCCTTGGCTTTTGAACATTGCTATTTCTGACCTCAAACCCCATGTTTTTTCCACAACAAATTAACCACAGATAAGGTGTATTTTTTTTTTTTTTTTTTTTTTGAGACAGAGTCTCACTTTGTTGTCCAGGCTAGAGTGAGTGCCGTGTTGTCAGCCTAGCTCACAGCAACCTCAAACTCCTGGGCTCAAGCAATCCTGCTGTCTCAGCCTCCCGAGTAGCTGGGACTACAGGCATGTGCCACTATGCCCGGCTAATTTTTTATATATATATATCAGTTGGCCAATTAATTTCTTTCTGTTTATAGTAGAGACGGGGTCTCGCTCTTGCTCAGGCTGGTTTTGAACTCCTGACCTTGAGCAATCCGCCCGCCTCGGCCTCCCAAGAGCTAGGATTACAGGCGTGAGCCACAGCGCCCGGCCTAGATAAGGTGTATTTTAAAAATTCACCTTTCTGGTTTTTGTGAAGTCTTCTAGAAATTTCAGATCGTCAAAAAGTTTCCTAAGTCTGATGGATTCCATATATTTAACGAGCATTCATTTGCCAGTCAAGGCCTAGAATTACCTGCCTTCTATAGCAGCCCCAAGTCTGTTCATTTTTGTGATCATTTATCATCTTCTAGTCATAATCATTTCCGTGTATAATGTGTATGGGCGTTCTGAGATTCTCTAAAATTGGCAATGTTCAGAATGCCCTAGTGCTCTCATTTGATTCCAAGATGACTCAATTTCCTACATCATTTTTTTTTTAATGGGGGGAGGGCGTCACAGAACAAACAGCTGGTTTTACGTATCTCTCTGCCAGACCTTCAGCTATCTTGCACATTTTTTTGTTCCTGCGTGGCAACTCGAGACGCTAACTCGGCAAAACGTGGCGGCAATGAGAACAACAGCGCTTAGCCCCGCCCCCTAAATAAAAAAATAAAAAAAAAGCCGGGTCCCGGAGGCGTGGGAGCGGGCGGGGGGCGGGGCCGCGGTCGGGTCGCGACCGATTTATAGGTCACCCGGAAGGCACGCGGCGTCCTCCGCGGCGCTTCGCCCAGGCCGCAGCCCCCGCGCGCCCCTCGCCCGCCCCGCCGAGCCTCTCGCGGCCGCTGCCTGCCCGGCGGCGCGCGTCGCAGCGGTAGTTAGCCGAGCGCGGCCATGGCCGCCGCCGCGGGGTGCCCGGCTCCTGCGCGCGCGCCTGCGCGGCCTGGCGCCGCCGCCGTGGCTGCTCCTCGCGGGCCCGCGCCGAGCGGGGGCCTGCTGGCGACCCGGGCCGGGCGGAGCGCGGGGGCCTGCCGGCCGCTGAGCCTGTCGGCGCCGGCGCGGAGCAGGTAAGGCGCGGGCGGGCGGCGCTCCGGGGCCGGCCTCTCGGTCTGTCGGCCTCCACAGGGCGCCCGCGGGCCGGGCCCGCTCCTCCCGCGCACCCTTTGCGGCTCCGCCTTGCCGCTCGGTGGCGTCGCTGCCTCTCTTCCCTCGGCACCGCGAGGTTTCCTTCCTGAACCACCCACGCCCGGCGGGAAACGGGGCCCCGGGGCCCCCGAGTTCCCTTTCCCAGTGCCGCCCGTGTCCTCCGGAAAGCCGGCACTTGGCTGCGGCAGGTTCTCCGCGTGGTTTTGGCCGGAATCTAGCCCAGGCTGTGCTCCCAACCTGCAGTGACCTTCCCGACAGGCTCCAGTTGTTGTGCAGGCCTGACACTCCTGCGGGCCTTCTCGTTCCGGGCCTTTCTCCTGTCGCGGTAGGACACTCCGCCCCCAGTTCTCTGTCAGAAAGTGTCCAGGTAGAATACACTCGCCCTGTTCCCCATGCCGCGCTGATTGCTCTCTTCTAGTTGTTAAAGGGTTAAGGGCTCCTGCATTGGAGTGGGGGAGGCAGAGCTTTGAACTCTGCTTCACATGCTGTCTAACTTGTCCAACTTCCTCAATCCCTAGAAACCTCCATTTCCCCATTTGTAAATGGAGGATAACAATATTATAAGCCTCGCAGGGTTATTTGAAGAATAAATGAGGTAATACGGAAGATACAGGTGGTCTTGTGCCTGGCAAATATTGCTGGGTAGATGATGCCACCTGTCAGCAGCAGCAGCAGCAGCAGCAGCAGCGGAGGCACCCTCTTAGATACACAGCGTCATCACAGGGTTTCGTATTAAATGTTGAGAGAGATGTAAAAAGTTTTCCCCCCTAAATGTGTAGAAGTTTTATGTTCTTGGGTGTATTTGTTTTTTTAAAGACACAGTCCACTTAGATCTAGTGGAGAGAAAATGTACTCATAATTTCAGAGTATGGTAACATGGTGGAGATTTATATAATGCAGATCTCCCAACAGCTCTTTGGAAGTGTAGCAGGAAGCAAGAACTGGAGGGAAAGTGTGTTGGATTTGCATGTTGCCTCTTTGAATTTCTTCCTGATACAGGTCCCTGGGAATAGAGTTGGGATTTATTCATTTTTTCCCCCCTTGATCCTGTTATGCAGTTGTATGCTCAGTAAGATTTCCTTGCATGAACTGTGAGGGAAATCGTGGAGCAGGCAAGCCAGATTTCTTCGTTCCTATTTCCCCTGCACTTCCCTGCCTTTGATCTCTGCCTGTGTGGGTGCCTTTCTTTCTACTACAGGCATTTTTGGAAAACTGTGTAAATTGGGATCCCTATTGAACATATTTGTGTAACTGGTGTTTAAGGGAACATGTGCAAAGTTCTGTTGGACAGAGCAGTTTTGTTACAGAAGGTGTGGTTCTGATTTTGAAGGTTAGCAAGTAGATAAGCTATCAGCAATTGAGAGTCAAAAAACTCCTTTTATTCTTAAAAACCCTGACACAGTACTTTATATTTTGTAATGATTTAGGTTGCACAGGGCTTTTGCATATATTATTTCACTTGACTCTTAAGATAATCCTGTGAGGTAGGGAGGATAGATAAATGGGAATAAAATTTTCATATTAGTAGCAAGCCCTAGACTGGGCCCTTTTCTGGGGCCTAAGACTTGGGTGTGCTGTAACCTCTTTCCCTACCAGAAGCCTGCTAAGAGCTGTAGGTATCACAGCAACCCCTGACAGCTTTGTTAAAATGTCTGCTGTGCTTGAGCAGAGTAAATGGTAAAGGATGGTAAAGGTAAACAGGTGAGTAAAAGGCTAACAAGTAGAGAAAATAGTTTGTGGTGATGGCTGATTAACTGGTAGTGATAGAAGGTTAGAAGGATCGTATTTATTTTCTAGTGCTTGAAATCCTATCCTTCTTGAGAATAGCTAAAAGCTTTTGCTAGCCCTAAGAATTGGGAAAACAAATCCACAAAATTCACCAACACCAGTTGTTAATAGTGAATGGATACAGTTTTACTTGGTTAAAGTACATGTATGTACTGCTTTAAGGAACAAAGTTTACCAGAAATTTTCTCTTTTAATTCCCTCTCATAATTCTTTAAATTCTTAAATCCACAGTGTGATAAAGTCACTATTAAGCCCTTTACCTGTAAGTTAAGTGGCTTCCTATGTTTATCTAATGAGTATGTTAGAACCAGGGCTAGCATCTTCATCTTCTGACTCTTAGGTACTGTACTCTTTAAACTGCAGAATTACCTTTCCTTTCTCATTTCTGTTTCCTCTCCTATCCATTGGTGAATCTATTACTACTCTGCAGTTTTTCATAGGGCTGTACAACTTTAATACATATCAGGCTTCTTAAGCAGTAAAAGGGCCCGAGCTTTAAATAATAATTATCAGTGTTTGTTGAGTTCTACTATGTGTTAGGTATTTTGCCTACATTGTCAAAATTGTAAGATAAATGTCCTGATTTGACAGGACAGGAAGAGAAAAGAAAAGGAGGCTGATGTAGAAGAGATTTCTAATTCCTTCGCTCTAAGCTTAGCTCTTCAGTGTTCTAGAACAGCAATCCTAAAACCTCTGAATTTCAGTAGTGTGTATAAATGATGGAATTCTTTCTGTTGCACTTCTGTAGTTGTAGCTACCAGGCATTTGTTGATGTCAAATCTATAGAGTTCCCCACTGGGCTTGGACTCAAATTTCCATTTGGCTTCTGAACATTCTTATCTGGCTTTTTCCTTTATTAAGTTAAGCAGGTCTAAACTTGAACTCATTTCCGTCTTCCCCAAAGCTCCTTCTCCTCTCTTAAACCTAGGTTAAACTGTACCACCTAATTGCCAATTGCCAGAGCTGGAAATCTCAGTGTTATTTCTTTCCTCTTTCTTAATTCACTTTATATAGATGGTCATTAAAGCCTTTCATTTTACCTCCTGAATACTTCTTATGTCAGTATCTTCTATATCTTTGCTTAGTTTGAGCTCTTTTGTCTCTCTGCCTTCAAGGTATCTTCATTCTCGGCCATTCTGCCTTGAAAAAAGTGGCTGTAGTCAAGTTGAAAATCATGAATAATATTTGGAAATACTTGTTTTAAAGGAATTTTTGCTGTGAAAAGATGTTGGAGGGCACAGGCCCTTTTGAGGGACATTCTTATACATGTACTTTTGATAATTTTTAATTGATAACATCCTCTTTTTATTCAGTGTTGTAATAATCAGGGAGGGCATTATCCAGTGGGAGGGGGACTTCAGTTTCCTCATTTGTAAAATGAGAAAATTGGACTTGATAGTTTTCAAGATATTTATAGCTTTGAAATTATTCAATTCTGGGTTTTACTTACATTACATGAAGTTTTCTTTGATGGACTATTGCCATCTGTTGATAGTAGTGAAAATTACAACTAGTTGAAGTTGAAGTGCATCTTTTTCAATTATTAAATACAAGGTAAAAATTAAAGTGAACAACGATAGAGGATACAGATCTATTTGCTAGTACATCTACAAAAAGTAAAAAAATTAGCTTGGTGTGTTGTCACGTGCCTGTAGTCCCAGCTACTGGGGGGGGGGGCTGAGACAGGAGGATCGCTGGAACTCAGAATTTGGAGCTTGTAGTGAGCTATGATGATGCCACTGCACCTCTAGCTCAGGTAACAGAGTAAGATCCTGTCTCAAAACAAATAACCCCCACCCAAACCGCCAAAACTCCCAAAACCACATGTAAGGAGGTATTTTATTTATCTTTCCACAGATACAGAGAAACAGAAACTTTTGCTAGTTCCTTTGGATTTTGAGTACATGGTGGGGACTGAAATGAGATGTTGAAATATTTGGAAAACTGTCAAACTACTACCTCTCAGCAACAGCATTCTATCAGGCACCTGCACAGCAGTTGCCCTGTTGATAGCAGGATGATTTGCATTTTTAAAGCCACTACAGCTCTGGGCTAGACTTACAAGGACACATTTGTATTTTTCAGAGCTGTGTGAGAGTAAAAGAGACTTGACAAGTGATATTAATTACTACATTTTCACAGAACTGACCACTGGGGAGAGACATACTACAGACTACCAGGTGGCCTTGACCAGGTAGTCATTGCCATTTCCTTTAAGGAGTAGAGCTTGTCACCTGGTAGGTGGATGGGTAGCCCTGCTTTTGATTCATGGTGTCTTCTTCCCAAATAAACTTCAGAGAGAAGAGACAATACTGTAAAAGAGCATATTCATACACATGCATAGGAATGCACCATTTTTGTGACCTTGCAGATTCTTAAACCATTTATTTAAAGTTATATTTGAAATTACTAAAAATTCTAAATGCATACTTTCTTTTCCAGCTCAGAAGATAAAATAACAGTCCACTTTCTAAACCGTGATGGTGAAACAGTAACAGCCACAGGAAAAGTTGGTGATTCTCTGCTAGATGTTGTGGTTGAAAATAATCTAGATATTGATGGTTTTGGTGAGTATGGGACATTTCTTAAAATTTATAAGTAAAACTATTTGAATAAGTTTCAACCTTTTTTTTTTTTAAATTTTAATCTGTAGCTTGCTAGGTAAAATATTAAAATTCTGGATGTGTTAGTGTTATGTTTATAAAGAATAACAGAGTGACACTTTTTCTATTCTTTGTACATTGAAGTAGCTATGTGGCCAGAAATGTACTATTGCCTCATTACTTTGCTGTTTACCTATGTGATGCAAAGCTGGGAGTAGGGTGTGGAGTTCAAAGGTACCACTTTAGAGGTAATAAATGTCATAGCACAGAAGGGTAAGTAAGTAGTTTTAACTTAATCTTGAATGTCAACTCGCCTTCCTAGGAAGAGTGACTTATCCTAGGGTGTTTTATTTAGAAAATTTTCATTTCCAGACTTCTGACCATATTCCTTAACCACACACACAAAACCCATGTTTCAACACTGCCGTTTTTGCAGTTCCTCTGGCACCTGTCAGTTTTGCTCAAGCACTATCTCTATCTGGAATGGTAGTTGTCAGAGAGGATTCCCTTGACCATTTTTAGCATCATTATCATCTGGGAAATGCAGATTCTCAGACTTCCCCTCCAGACTTACTGAGTCAGTAAGTCTGGGATAGGGCCTGGCAATGTGTGTTTTAATAGGCCGTGCGTGTGATTTTGATGCATGCTTAAGTTTGAGAACGGTGACCAGAATAAGGTCCAAGAAACATATCTGACTTTGCTTCTTTCAAGGCACAGTTCACGTTACACTTTTAAGAACCATTTCTAGATCAGAATTAATTTCTCCTTCCTCTGTTTTCTCATGATATATTAAATCTACCTCTCTTTGTTAAGTCTTGTAACAGTTTTCCAGGGTAGAGAGAATGGCCTGCTCTCTACTAGATTATGAATTCTCGAGGTAACTTGGGTAACCCCATGGAGCACACCTGTCCTGACTTGGAACTATTGTTAAATATCTAAATATAATATATTTTTTTTCAGTTTCAAAGTAATTATAACTACTAGCATTTGAGTGTGTACCACATTCTAGCATTTGTTATCTAAGGTAGATTTTTTTTTAACCATCCATTTTATAGGTGAAGAAACTAAGGCTCAGAGAAATTAATTTTCCCTGGTCATACATGCAGCAAGTAAGAGGGCTCAGATTCAAACCTAAGTCTAACTCCTAAGCTTCTCCCATTTTCTGTATGCTGTTTTCTTTAAGAAGTGTCTTTTCTGTGTAAACACCTGTTACAGAAATTTGGTGTTTAGTTAGTTGAATAATCCTAATTTTAAGGAATTATGTATTTTAATGCAGTGGTTCTTGGCTGGGACTGAGTTTCAGAATTGCTTTCCTGAACTTTTAAAAGTGCAGACATTTCTGTTCCATCCTAGATAGCATAAGGAAAGAGGGAGATTTTGCAGACATATTCTTAAAAGCTTCATGTGATACATACTATAAGAACAAATTTAGTGAAAAAAGCCATTAATAACTTTTTCTTTTATTAAAGAGACAGGGTCTCACTCTGTTACTCAGGCTGAAAAGCAGTGGCACAATCACAGCTCATAGAATTCTTGGGCTCAAGTGATCCTCCCACCTCAGCCTCCCAAAGTGCTGGGATTCCAGGAGTGAGCCACTGTGCCTGGCCCACTGATTATTTATCAGACTGGGCAGAGGACAGGAGCCATGTGGGAATATATTATAAAACTTAGGATTTCCTTCGTATGAGTTCATATTCACTTACACTTCTGACTAAACTTAGTTTCACTGAATTACTCTTTCACAAGTGAAAGGTAGTACAGTAGTTCTCTCTTATCCACAAGGGATCTGCTCTGAGAACCCTACTGGGTACCTGAAACCATGGATAGTACTGAACCCTATAGATACTATGTTTTTTCCTATGGTAAACTTTCACCTTTCACTTAAAAGAAGCACTTTCTGGCTTTGGCATATCTGAAATGGCCAGCATCACTACTCATGTGCTTTGGGGCCATTATTAAGTAAAATAAGGGTTATTTGAACACAAGCACTGTGATAGCACAACAGTCAATGGCTACTAAGTGGCTAGCTGGTGGATAGCATAGTCAGCACGGAGATGATGGACAAAGGGATGACTCGCATCTGGGGCAGGATAGAGCAGGATATGTGAGGTTTTGTAATGCTACTCAGAACAGTGCGCAATTTAAAACTTCTGAATTGTTTCTGGAATTTTTTACTTAATATTTTTGGACTGTAATTGACTCAGACTGAGGGTGATTGAAGCTGTGGAAAGCGAAATCCTGGATGGGGGAACTACTGTACATAGCACAGTAATTGAGAGTAGACTTTGGAATCAGACAGATTATGGTCCATAAACCAACACTGTTACTTACTAACCATGAGACCTGGCACAAGCTAGTTTAACTTCTTTATGCCTCCGTTTCCTGTTCTATAAAACAGGGTAATAATTGTTCTAACCTCATAAGGTGGTTAAAGATTAAATGGTATATCAGAAGTGAAATGCTTGGCACAGTGCCTACCTTGGTAAGAACAGTAGGATTTGTGGCATTTTAACTTGGCCTACTCTCATTCCCCCTTCTCTAGATCCATAGTAGCCTTGAAAACCAGTAGTTTTGTAACCACAGTAGCTATGAAAACCAGCAGCCTTGCAGCCACTGGAAAGGCCGACTGGGTTTGAGTTCCTCAAAAAGTCTCATCCCCAGAATATTGTCACTATTAGACCTGTCTTGCAGCTTCTTGAAAAAGCTCCATTCCAGAGAGTTGTTATTTGACCTTCCTCAGAGATTGCTCTGTGGGAAAAGCTCCATTTTTAGGGCATTTGTCTAAAATTATCAACTGTAATTGTTTAACATTTTAGCTTCCCGAGTCTGTTATACCAATTGGGGCAAACAAAAGCCTAGCCAAAAATTTAAAAGGAAGATCTGGGGAATGAGATGTCCATAGTGGGCTTTGAAATGCTCTGGAGATCAAGAATGCTGTGCATGTGTGCAGAACTGTGTGCATGCCCAGGTAGGACCTGAGAGGGCCCCAGGCACTCATCTCTGGCTGTCTTTCAGGTCCTGTACAAGCAACAAGTGAAGGCTAAGACAGACATATAAAACTTTCTGAAAGTTGAAGGTGTGCCAAGTCACACAGCAAGCGCCTTGGCAAAGGATGGAAAACCTATTGGTTCAAAACATTGAAGGAAACCTCTGCCCAGTCATGTAGCTGAGCAGAGACTGCCATGGCTGTATGGGATAAGAAATACAGACTTTAGGGAATTCATCAGGAGAGGTCACTAGAGAAACAAACAGCAGCATCAACAACCACCAAAAAGCCTGCAACAATAGCAAACCCAGGGGATAGGGTAGTGCTCCTGATCTCCAGAGTTACCATATTGTTATTGAAAGTGTCCACTTTGCAACAAAAAATTTAAAACATACAAAAAACCAGGAAAGTAAGGCCCTTACTCAGGAAAAAAGCAGTTCTGGAGGAAGCTCAGATGTTGGACTTATTAGACAGGAATGTTAAAATCAGCTGTTGTAAAAGTTTAAAGAATTGATGGAAACTATGTGGAGATGTTCTTTGACATTTCTCACATCTATACATCTGTATCTGTGGAAGCCATAACCATTCCGTGTAAGAATACATAAATAGTTAATGTTCCTGTTCTTGAGAAAGTTGATCTTTGTGCTCTTGGAAGGATAATGTGGAAGCCATAATTCAGCAAATATATTTCTGTAAATTCCTCTGCAGATTTAGTCTCAACTTTTAGGAAAAACCTATATACTAGTCTGTTTACTGCAGAGACATTTGTAACAGCAAAAGATTTGAAACAACTGTATGTCCATCAATAGAGAGCTGGTATATAGTAATAGAATGGGATATTATATAGTTGTGTAAAAAATAGAATCTCTGGTTTTAAGAACAAATGTCATTGGTTACTTGTTGGTAGGGGAGAGGCAGGAAGGAGATTTCCATTACAAAACTTTATACTTTTTTATTTTAGAACAATGTAAATGGGTTATCTATTTTAAAAACATATTTAGAAAAATAGAGGAAACAATCTGATCCCTAACAATAGGGATTGTTTAAGTCTATGATGGCATTTCTAAATTAAAGAACACTATGCATTTGTTATGAATAATGTTCACAATGAATTTGTAATTACATAGGTAGATACTTATAAGTGAAAACACAATGTATTTAGTTGCTTTCGATTTTCAGAGTGCATTGAAAGAAAATACTAAAAGGAGAGAAAATACTAAAAGAAAATACTAAACATTTAATGTTGTTTTTTTGTCTTGATCTGATTGTAGATTTTTTATTTTCCTTCCACTTTTCTTTATATTTTAATTTTTTTCTATAGTGACTTACTACTTTAACACCCTGTGACTTTCAGTACTGACTTTCCCTGTTCCTTACTTTCATTATCTATCAAATGAAGGTAATAGTACCTCAAAGGACTTTTGTAATGACTAAATGAATTAATATGTTTGTTCAGAACAGTATCTGACACACAGTATTATAAGTAATTTAAGTAATTGTATTAGTCTCTTTCATTATATAAAAATAATCCATATGTACAATGAAATACCTCTTCATGGCCATTAGGATGGCTATTACAAAAAAAAAAAAAAGGCCCCAAAAGTGTTGACAAGGATGAGGAGAAATTGGAACCCTGTACATTGCTGATGGGAATGTTTTATGATACAGCCACTGTGGGAAACAATTTGATGGTTCCTAAAAATGTTAAACATAGAATTACCATATGATCTAGCAACTCCTTGGTATATATCCAAAAGAATTGAATGCAGGGACTCTAACAGACACTTGTATGCTGGTGCTCATATCAGCATTATTTGCAATAGCCAAAAGGTAGAATCAACTCAAGTATCCATCAATACTTCATTGATTAGAATTATAATAAAAAAAAATCCATCAGTATATGAGTGGATAAACAAAATGTGATATATGCATACAATAGAATGTTATTCAGCTATAAAAAGGAATGAAAGCAGGAAGG